ATCAGCCCACCTTGACCTTTCAAAGTCCTGTGATTACATTTCATTTTATTGAGTAATCTATATTTAAAATGATTGGTTAAAGAAATTAAGTTGTTATTACCACTAATGTTGTTATTGTTTTGTGTGTTTCTAGTAGTTATATTTTTCTCATTTCCTGTTTGACTTTCTTAATTTCCATTTAATTTTGTACTGCCATGCTTTGATTATATTTTACTTTCATTTGCATACTTTCTACAAATAATATCTTTGTAATCATCTCAAAAACTGGAGATTACATACATTTTAAAGTTAAAACAATATATTTTAATCTCATAACAACTTCAATTGAATAAAAAAACTATGCCTCTATTTTCCAGTTTGTTACTGATATTAAAATTACTTTACATAGTGTATCTACAGGCTCACACCTGTTATCCCAGCACTTTGGGAGGCTGAGGTGGGTGGATCCCGAGGTCAGGAGATCAAGACCATCTGGCCAACATGGTGAAATCCCGTCTCTACTAAAATACAAAAAATTAGCCAGGCATGGTGGCCCATGCCGGTAGTACCAACTACTCAGTAGGCTGAGGCAGGGGAATCACTAGAACCCAGGAGGCACTCCAGCCTGGGAGACAGACAGAGACTCCATCTCAAAAAATATATATATATGTATTTCCAAATACTCAGTTTGGTCTCATTAATTATATTGACATTGTTATGCAACATATCACTAGAGTGCTTTTATCTTGCAAAACTAAATCTCAGTACACATGAAACAACTACCAATTCTTTGTATTTTGTGGTTCTCTTCAAACACCACTCTGTTTTCTGTTTCTGAGAGTATAATTGCTTTATATATCTCATCCAGTCTCTGTCTTTTTGTGACGGTCATTTTATTTTGCATAGTGTCATCAATATTTATCTTAATAGTTGTTACAATATTTTCTACTTTTTGAAAACTGAGTGATATTCCTGTATTTTTGTGTCTACTGAATAATTTGGTGACACAAATTTGGATTACTTTTACCTATTGGCTTTCAGTAACAATGCTATAATAATTATGTGAAAGTTAATATAATATATGTGCTGCACTCTGTTTTATTAGCCTACTTTTTCAGCTTTATACTCACCAAATTATTTTAATTCTGTAGCTTTTGATGTGTTTTGAAATCAGAAATGGTAGTGCCTCTAACATTGTTCCTGTTTTTGAAGATTGCTGGGTACTTTATTGTAGGTTTGGATTCCATATACTTTTAAATTTGCCGTTTTTATTTCTTTGAAAATGCAATTAGTCATTTGAAAAACATTGCATTAAATCTGTAAATTGAGCAGTAAAGACATCTTCAAAATATTAGTTATTTCTTTTTCAATTGTTTTTGAGATGGAGTTAAATTTACCTGCCTTACCAGTTACCTTGTGCCATTTTGGTTAGTATGTTTTTGTTACATTTATATGTGCAGGAAGAAATTACAGCTTGAGGTATTTTGCAATGTAATCTTACTTATGTAGTTTGTATCATTTTATAGGTTAGGTTTGTAAAGTATGTTTATCTGAGTCTAGCAATTGAAGCAATGTGTTTTTATTATTTCTTTCAGTTATGTGTTCTCATTTTGCCCAAGACCTTTGGACAGAGCAGAACATGAAAGATTCTTTCCAAAAAATGATACCAAGAAGATATGAAAAACGTGGACATGGAAATGTACAGTTAATAAAATGGCGTGAAAGTATGGATGAGTGTAAGGTGCACACAGGAGGTTATAATGGACTTAACCAATGTTGTACAACTACCCAGAGCAAAATGTTTCAATGTGATAAATATGGGAAAGTCTTTCGTAAATTTTCAAATTCAAACAGACATAAGATAAGACATACTGAAAAAAAACCTTTCAAATGCATAGAATGTGGCAAAGCTTTTAACCTGTTCTCAACCCTTACTAGACATAAGAGAATTCATACTGGAGAGAAACCCTACATTTGTGAAGAATGTGGCAAAGCCTTTAAGTACTCCTCTACTCTTACTACACATAAGAGAATTCATACTGGAGAGAAACCATACAAGTGTGATAAATGTGACAAAGCCTTTATTGCATCCTCAACCCTTAGTAAACATGAGATCATTCATACAGGAAAGAAACCCTACAAATGTGAAGAATGTGGCAAAGCCTTCAACCGATCCTCAATCCTTACTACACATAAGAGAATTCATACTGGAGAGAAACCATACAAGTGTGATAAATGTGGCAAAGCCTTTATTACATCCTCAACCCTTAGTAAACATGAGATCATTCATACGGGAAAGAAACCCTACAAATGTGAAGAATGTGGCAAAGCCTTCTTCCAGTCCTCAATCCTTACTAGACATAAGATAATTCATAGTGGAGAGAAACCCTACAAATGTGAAGAATGTGGCAAAGCCTTTAAGTACTCCTCTGTCCTTGCTACACATAAGAAAAGTCATACTGAAGAGAAACGCTACAAATGTGAAGAATGTGGCAAAACCTTCAAGCAGTCCTCATACCTTAGTACACATAAGATTATTCATACTGGACAGAAACCCTACAAATGTGAAGAATGTGGCAAAGCTTTTAATCAGTCCTCAACACTTACTAAACATAAGAAAATTCACACTGGAGAGAAGCCTTATGTTTGTGAAGAATGTGGCAAAGCCTTTAAGTACTCCTGTACCCTCACTACACATAAGAGAATTCATACTGGAGAGAAACCATACAAGTGTAATAAATGTGGCAAAGCCTTTATTGCATCCTCAACCCTTAGTAAACATGAGATAATTCATATGGGAAAGAAACACTACAAATGTGAAGAATGTGGCAAAGCCTTCGTTTGGTCCTCAGTCCTAACTAGACATAAGATAATTCATACTGGAGAGAAGCCCTACAAATGTGAAGAATGTGGCAAAGCCTTTAAGTACTCCTCTGTCCTTAGTTCACATAAGAGAAGTCATACTGGAGAGAAACCGTACAAATGTGAAGAATGTGGCAAAGCCTTCAAGTACTCCTCAGCACTTAGTACACATAAGATAATTCATACTGGAGAGAAACCCTACAAATGTGAAGAATGTGGCAGAGTCTTCAGGCGCTCCTCAGTCCTTAGTAAACATAAGAAAATTCATACTGCAGAGAAAACCTACAAATGTGAAGAATGTGGCAAAGCTTTTAACCAGTCTTCAACCCTTACTACACATAAGAAAATTCATACTGGAAAGAAACCTTACACATGTGAAGAATGTGGCAAAGCTTTTCACCTATCTGCACACCTTACTACACATAAGATACTTCATACTGGAGAGAAACCGTATAGATGTAGAGAATGTGGTGAAGCTTTTAACCGTTCTGCAACCCTTTTTTCACATAAGAAAATTCATTCTGGAGAGAACAAACCATACAAGTGTGATAAATGTGGCAAAATCTTTATTTCACCCTCAAGCTTTAGTAGACATGAGATAATTCATACTGGGGAAAAACCCTAGAAATATGAAGAATGTGGCAAAGCCTTCAAGCGGTCCTCACACCTTACTATACACTGAGAGTTCTGAACTTACTCTGTAATCATGCCAAACTCCTCCCAGCCACAGTCTGGCAGAGGTCCTGCCATTCCAGAGACCTGGAGGAAGAGGCCCATTTACAGCCATGTAGGCAGGCCTGCAGATCTTGGCCTTTACTATGGTCCCTGAAGTGGTTCAGTGACTCAGTTTTAGTTACGTGAGCCACAGCTTAAGGTCAGTTCTGCCTATATAGAAACCCACACAGTTACCTGAGGAAATGCTCTCTGGTACTCACTGAAAGCCATACTCATCCACATCTTGATACAAGGCCCACCATATGCAGACCTGACTGCAAAAACATGCCCTAGTGTCTGCCTCACAGAGCAAAGTCTTGAAGGATATTAGTCTGTCCAAAACTAAAATGAAAATTACAACTCCCCAACCCCCTCTAACAAGCCAGCTAAAGGTGAACCCTAGTGCAGACCCAGCAACCTTGTGACCAAGCTACAACCCCTCTTCACTACTAATTCAGAGGGTATCTCATCACCCTAAGGGCCAAACAAAAGATCTTTACCTTCTAAAATCAGTGTATGAAAAATTGAAAAGGTGTTTGCTCCATCAAATTCAGACACCAATACAAAACTATATTGTGCCCATTGTCAGTGGTTCTATTTTAATGTAGCACTGGAAGTATGTGGCAGAAGAATTAGTCAAAGAAATAAAAATAGCCATTGAAATTGAAGAAAAATAAAAAGTTGCTGTTTGTAGATCATACAATCTTATATTTGAAAAACCTTAAGCAGTACATTAAAACCTGTCTAAACCAATAAATACACTCAGTAAATTAGCAAAATATAAAATCAACATACATTATATATATGGTTTTATACACTTAAACTATCTGATTAAACAGAGGAACACACTGGGCACTTTGGGAGACCAAGGCAGGTGAATGATCTGAGGTCAGGAGTTTGAGACCAGCCTGGCCAGCATGTTGAAACCTCATCTTTACTAAAAATACAAAAATTAGCTGGGTGTGGTGGCTAGCACCTGCAATCCAAGCGCGTTGGGAGGCTGAGGGAGGAGAATCCTTGAATTTGGGAGGTGGAGGTTGTGGTGAGCAGAGATCGTGGCATTGCACTCCAGGCTAGGCAACAGTGCCAGACTCCATCTGAAAAAGAAAAAAAAAAGGAGAGGAAGAAAAAAATCTTATTTACTATAGCATTAAATAATAAATTTCTGGCCAGATCTGGTGGCTCATGCCTGTAAGGTCAGCACTTTTGGAAGCCGAGGTGGGTGGATCATGAGGTCGGGAGATCAAGACAATCTTGGCCATGGTGAAACCCCATCTCTGCTAGAATACAAAATTAGCTGGGCATGGTGGTGCAAGTCTGTAGTTTCAGCTAATTAGGACTGAGGCGGGGGAATCGCTAGAACCTGGGAGGTGGAGGTTCCAGTGAGCTGAGATCATGCCACTGCACTCCAGCCTGGAGAAGAAGCAAGTCACTGTCTCAATAAATAAACAAATTTCTGAGAAAATAAAAGCTAAAAAGTCTTTACAATAAAATGTCAATAAAAAAATTAGAGAAAATCCAAATAAATATAAAACTTTATGGGTTGAAAGAATAAATATCATTAAAGTGCCATATTATCCAAAGTTATCTACAGATTCAATAAACTTCCTATCAAAATTTGCAGTGGTATTTCTTTCAGAATACTGGAAAATACTATTTTAAAATTTATATGAAACTAAAATAAACTTTGAATAGCCAAAGCAATCTTGAGGAAAAAAAAAAAGTAGAAGGATATCATACTTATAATGTCAAGCTGTATTTTAAGACTGTATAGTAATAAAAACAGAATGGATTGTGCAATAAAATGAACAAAAATGCACCAGAAACTACTATCACATTTTTCAGACATGATGAAAAAAGAGAACTTAAAAAATAGTTTTAGTTTCTCAAAATCATGCAGATATTT